CTGTGTAGCCAAACAATCCCTGACACAGGTATGTATGAGTAGGAGACTGACAAGTGTGACAATGTGATTTCTTACATCATACACCACAGCCAGAAACCTTCCGTCATCCTTTCCCAAATGATGAATACATCGATTCTCTGTTCTTTGGACACTGACCTTTTTTTTTTGTATCTGATTCTTTAGGTGTCTATAATGGCAAATAAATTGAAAATGAATCCAGTAGGAAATATCTCTCCACAAATATCTCTTCCAGGAAAATTAGTTTTTCCAAGGTGAGTTTTAGATAGCATTGTCTCAGCAATCTCACACATTGCCACAGGCTACCCATACCTGGCAAAAGCTGATCATGTGCTTATTTTGTAATCTTATCAATACTTAAAATTGAATATTGTTCATACATAGTGCTACTTCTTTGAGAATTTTTATGATTAATTTTTTTTTTTTTGTTAGTATGCAAGACAGAAGCAGATTCTCCATGTTGGGACTTGGAGATATAGTAAGTAAAAACATGTAAATGATTTTTTGCAAGGAAAAGTATACCATCATGTAAATGGAAAAAAAATCACAATTTTGACCTGTGAATGACGACAAGAAACAAACTGATCCCCACAGGTCAACTGCAGTTAAAGAAATTGCAGAAGAAGAATTAGAAAAATTGAAGCTTTGCTAGGGTGCAAACCCATAGCAAATGAGCCAGGAAGCCTCATGTTTGGATTTAAGAGGCAAATTTTGGTGTATTCTGTTGAGTTCTGTGTTTCCTCTTAAGTTTTCTGATGGCATATCATGGTATTAGCGAAATAATAGCTTGACAATCTCTCGGATTGTAAACTATACTTTGCTAATTAACCCTTTAACTCCCAAGATCTAGTTGTTAATTCTCCCCTCTAGCTGCTATACATTCCCCTGTATATGAGTAACTAGAATTTGTTGTCAGATCAAGACAACAACTTCTACCTGATTAGTTTGAGTATACTCGCTACCTGTTTGCATGGTAATATATGGATATTCTAGGGAGAAGTAAAGTGTTAATCTCTTTTGGGAGTTAAGGTAGCCTCAAATACAAATGGATAGGGCTTTTTTTTCATTTTTAAATTCAGCTCTGGACCTAATTTGTTGTTTGTTATTTATAATAGGTTATGCCAGGCCTTCTCCTGTGTTTTGTAATGAGATATGATAAATACAAGAAGCAGGCAGCTGTAGCAGCAGACACAGAACAAGCCAGAGTAACATATTTTCATTGTTCTCTTATTGGATATATTGTAGGTAAGTAATTTGGGGGAAATCAATGGCTCTGTTAATTCCCTCAAAACATCTTGTAAAAGAATCTTTCAAAAGACTAATAAATGCGTGGTTGCACGTATGCTGCTATGACACTTTACACCCTAACATCAATATGCATTTCCTCCTTACCGTTTGCTACACATTTCCTTAGGAGTTGACAAAGAGAATTTGTTGTAAAACTGAGAGCTTTTTTCAGTCGGTTATCATGCCGTTTATTCTAATATATATTATTGTTAATCACTCGTAGGAGTCAAAGGGTAACCAGATTATAAAAGGCAGAAACGATAAACTACAATTTTTACTCTAGAACTTTCTGTGGGGATTCAATAATATAGTATAAACCTGTGACACTTTTTCAAGCATATTTTTTTGTTGACACGATAGGAACCAAATCAACATTGTGTTGGTTGCCCATAGTGCAGACGACCTCAGTTCCAATGTTACCATAACATAAGCAACAAATCAAAGTACTGGGCAGATGATTGATTGATTGCTTTTTTTCCTGTTAAACAGGTTTAGTGACGGCTACTGTGGCATCTGAGGTGTACAAAGCTGCCCAACCTGCGCTTCTTTATCTTGTTCCGTTTACGCTTCTACCAATTTTAGTTATGGCTTATCTGAAGGTATTTATTATTTTAATTAATCACCTTCCTTTGATATACCCGTTAGATGTCACATTTAAGATGAACTTTGTGTGACCAGGGAAATAAAATAATGTTTAATTATTTTCAGTCATTTTAGAGCGCTTTTCGATTGACTGTCCTAAAACTAAAACCAAAGTTATCACAACAGCCAAGGTAAAAATGTGCAAACTACCCAAAGCGCGGGAAGACGCGGACGACCAAGTCACGATTGTTTTCGTTTGGCCTCTGATTGGTTTAGAGCACGGCGAGAGTTTTTTTAGACCAATCACTGACCGAAGTAAGGCAAAATCAAAGCAATCCCGAGATACTCACGCGCTTCATTCGACACCCAATTAGAAATAACTTTATTTTACGCTAACAAATGAAGAAATGTAAAATGGTTTCCGTGTTTTCATAGCCTGATGTAAACACGCGGGAGGGTGAGAGAACACGAGATAAGCTTATCGATTTTATGAAAAAGCTAATGAAAGAGGAACGAAAACCGTGTTTACATACGCTCATGTAAAATGGTTTTATGGCCAATCAGAACGCGCGTACTATTTGAATTATTTTATAAAATATCTTCTTACTCGGAAGCGAGTGCAAAATATCAACCTTTCGCAGGCTGGCATCGCTCAGAGCCTGATACTTTCCCGCGGGCGAAAAACCGAATGAATTACTGCAAGGTCTGTAGAACACTAATTTAAAAGAGGATTACATACTTTTGGCAAGAAATGTTGTTTATTTTTTAATTTTCTTTTCTCCCTCCATAGGGCGATTTACGGAAAATGTGGCAAGAACCCTTTGTGGTTGCTGGTGCGAAATTTAAATTACTGGAAGTATAACACATGTCAAAGCCTAGACAGAACATTCAATATAGCGAAAAGATAGCGTCAAGATGAGTCAAGTACTACCATGTTGCCGATAGAGCGCTTTCCGATCGAGTGTCGTAAAAAAATAAAGACCAAAGTAATTAGAACAGCCAAGGAAATCACCTTTCAGAGCTCAAAAGTAAAACCGACCAAACGCGGGAAAACGCAGATGACCAAGTCGTGATATATTTAGTTTTGCATCTTATTGGTCGAGAGAGTTGCGTGAGGACCAATCATAAAGCGAAGTAAAGCAAAAACTAATGAATCCCAGATCACTTTCGACACTCAGTCGTAAATTGCTCTATTGTATCAAGAGAACTGTTCTTTAATTTGCTTTTGATGCAATAGTCACTTGATGTCCCAGTAAAGTTTGGAAGCTTGAGCTGGAAGTTGGCTAAAAGATGGAAACAGCGAACGAACAAAAAAAATCTGCGAAGGAATCTTAAATAATAATTTAGAACATTCATATGGTACTTTCTTGCTTTGCATAGAATGGAACTTTCATTCAAGGAACACCATTAGGTGTTCAAACTTGTTTACGAAAAACCTTGCAAAAATGTTTCAAAATGTACTATAAGGTGGACAGAACAGAGAATGGAATTACGTTCATTAGCCATGTCTTTGTTCTCCCATAGCTCGTTAGGAAATGACATTTAGTGGCAGAGCGCGTAGTATTTATTTAATTGTGTTATTCCCAGATTTTTAATAACTAAATTTGATTGGCTAAATGACAAGAAAGGAACGTTGCTTTCGGTTAGGAGAATATCAACAATTTACCTGAAATGACCAGGGAAGATTATCACGAAAGATTTCTTTTTGGGAGACAATGATGTATGTAAAGAATTTATAAATTGTATCACAAGAAGGATTATCTTGTACGAAATCACTCTCAATTAAGAAGATAAGTATTGTGTAAAGTGGACATAATGTATGAATTTCTTACGTTCTTGATTTAAGCCTCTTGCTGTTTCACGATGGTGGCGACTGTCGTGTGTTTTGTTACTTCTCTTTCATAAATTGCCGTATGTTTACAGAAAGCGTCTTGCTAGCGCACCTAACTTAAAAACAGTCCATTGATAACAAGTTATGGTAAATGTTTGGTTAGGTAGGGGTGGGTATGTAGTTGTTCAGATACTGACACTGATTCGCCGTTTCTAAGCCTGTTTGTTCTCAAGTGTTTTTCGTAATACCACTACGAGTATCGAGTGATAAAGAGATTTATGTAAGCATCTCAAACAACGGCTGGAAGAAATAAATTTGTAAGTGGCCGGCTTGTAAATGGTAGGCTTAGCGTATTTATTATGTGAAAAGCTTAAGCATCAGTGTAGGTTTTTTTTTCAATGGGTAAAGTAAAGTGACCCGAGTGATTCGTTGTTCAAATTCTTTGTGTCTTTCTGATACGTTATGCCTTTCAGCAAGGTACGCTACGATAAGAGAATGAAAACCCTTTGGACCGGTTATTATTTGGTCGGAGGATTTTGATTGTGTCGCAATAAAATCCACCTGACTCCCCCCCTAAGGCTAAGTAGTCTCCCCCTTTATACTCTGTTAGCGAAAGCTGATCATCCCCGTTCCTCCTTGTAAACCAAAATCGCTTCTGATGTGAGAATGAACCCATATAGACGTAAAACACCAGTAAATCTTCGAGGGAACTTGCAAGCATAATAAATCACCAACAATAGTAACAACAGCAAGTCGTTGATACAACGTTGAACAACTTTCTCGTTTCATCCAGGTTTTATTTCGTCCTGTTTCGAAAAGCCGAAATAATTTCACTTGAAATTTGGACAGTCATCTCCTGTTTCATTAATACTGGCCTACAGCACAAGCAGTTTTCGGCATAAAAACGTGGGAGAAAAATTACAACGGTTCCAGTGAAACCACGACGAAGACCTTTATTTTCGGCTTGAATTGGAAGAGGCCACGGATCATGTGTTTCAAGCGGAAACCTTCATCACTCTGTCAAAGAGCAGAGGAAACATAAGGGTCAATGATATATTGATCAGGAACCTATGCTATTTGGACACTAAAGCATTTACAACTCTAGGCCAATAGGTCTTCAATTATTTGATGAATTCAGCAATATTTAAAGATGCTCTTAATTACCATGGCAACCATACAGCTCCACTCTCATCGCTATTGTATAGTTCCAAACTACTGGTCGAAAACGGATCAAACGTGTTCTGATTGGTGGGCTCAGATCATTATAGACAATGGTGGCTGTGTCTGTATTTCCGGAGAAATTCTATGGCAGGGAATGAAAAAATATAATTTTAGGGGTTGTAAATGTTGTAGTCCTCCCTCTTATTCTAGACCGTATAGCTGGGCTAAGTTAAGCTTTCAAGCAGGTTCCCAAGCAAGGTTCTGCAAAACGCGCGTTTTTTTCACACACGGGAAGATTTAAAACGAGTCGGGTAGGGGTTAGCCAGCTTCTGCCACTGAAAAATATTAACTCGGTAGCGAAATGAAGTCCTGAACCTGTTGGGGACAGAGAGCGGCAACACCATCAACGGAAGTCGAAATAGAGTCGTGTCCAGACTGTCCGCGCGCTTTCCCGTTCTGTCCCGTTCTGTCCCGTTCTGGAATGATGTTCCCGTCGTCTTGCTAAACCAATCTATCATTATCAGTGCTCGACTCCTAGCAGACTCGCTCGCAGCCCAAGCTAAGTTTATTCCGCCCATTTTACGGCATTAACTGCCGTTAATAGACTGATAGTTTACCTCTCTGAGGTTGTTGGACCATGTCTGATAGCCTCCTTGCCAGTGTCACAGGCCATCGTTCTTACTAGGCACGAGTGATTTCGACCACCTTGCGCTAGTGATAAGTATGCAAGTTCTCCAGACTGTTTTCTATACATTTCTTATGGCACTTACTGGGAGAATTTGTCTAACAATCATGAGCTTCTCGAGTTCTTGATCATTTCCTTCATTCTCATGACCCTAATATTTGATTTAGGGGTGATACAGTTGGAAGAAATTTAATGCTTACTCTCTCAACAATGACAATTTTGCATTCGTTTTTGAAATGGTCACAATGAGATCAGTTCCTCAAATTAAGCCTTGAAAATATGTATAAAAACTACCGAGTTGTCAACGCAGGCTCACCAACCTTAGGTAGGTTTTGTCCGTGTTCTTTGTAGTACAGAAAACTTATTCCATTAACACTGTACTGCAACTGGTATTTAGTCACCCACTGTGGGTTCTGTGAATTCTCCCTTCCCTGTGTGGCGACACATGTTATTGTGGTCAGTGGATTGCCCAGGTCAATCTGCAGCCATTGGTAGTTATCTTTGGTGCCGGATTTCCAGGATCTAGGGCTATTCAGTCTGCTCATGTTGACCCCAAATTTGCCGGTATGCCACTCGGAAGAGACGCTGATTTGTCCGTCCGAGATAATGCCGCTCTCCATGCCAAGAGCTTGCCGACAATCTGTATGTCGAAGTGCATTTTAATCAAGTATTATACAACGAAGCAAAAGGGATAAGATGTACTATAGATAGCCCCAGTCAATATGCCTATCGATAATTGGTTAATGGTCTATCAATGATCACCCAATAACTGTATAGTATCTATAAACAATGGCCTCCATCGTTGGTCGCAAAAATATGCATGGATATTTGTCCGCGGACATTGCCTTTCCCGTGATGCCCTTTGAGGACCAGATAATGTTCAAAGACAAATATGCGAGCGTTATTTCGGGCCAAATGGAGGTTTTGTGTTTATCGTCCTTCAAATATTTCAGTCAACGCGCGGGAAAATTGTTTACAATCAGCCAACTGTTTACGGCTTCGGATGTTCGCGTTTCAATGTTATTTGGTACGATTTTACGAACAAAAACAATATATATTCCTCCTTCTTTACAGCCAACCATGTTCCTTGATCTTAAATTAAATTTTGTGCACAGAGTTTTCCGTTTTGGACATAAGGTAAAGGTAAGGTATTAGACGTAAAAATTGGGAAATATCATTTGAGGTATTTCTCACTATTCCGCAAGCACTTGTTGCATATCAGATGATGAATAGCCAATGTGGCCCGTAAGGTTGAGTTGGCTATAATCATCCATATCCAACGTGCGCGAGTGGAATAATGTTTTAATAAAAACGCCCCAAAATATAGATAAATCTTCCCAACTTTATTCTGTAAGAACAAACGGAGTGTTACCAAGTACAAAAAAAAACTTTCGGTTTAAAGCGTCTTCATGCACACGCATGGCATAATAGCTCCTAACCCATGATGGCTGAGCCAGTGAAAACTCTGTGATTTCCCTATCCGATGGTCGGATATCCCCCAGTTTTAGCTGGGGGATATTCGGTCACGTGATGCGTTTGGACCGATCGCGTGTGAGCAAAGATATTCGATGGATTATAATAAGTGATATCTCACCATGTTGACAAAACTGACCAACAAATCCCTTAGCACAATCACAGACAAAGAATTTTCCCATGAAGTCGCAGCTTTTTCGCAATAATCCACCATTAAGACACGGCTGATCTCGGCCCTAAAGGATATATCAACATGGTTAGCATATTCTGTAATGGCTTAATTTGAGTCCACAAATTTAATAGATTCAGGAGTTAACACTATTATTACTGTCCTACTGTCCCTCACATGGGCCATTTGGTTTTATAACATAGCTACATTCTAACGCAGACTCGGCTGATTGGCTTATATTTAGGGAAAAGAAATGGATGGTTTGGAGGGTCGCGTGACCTAACTGTGAGCGCGTCAGACCCCGGATCTAAGGACCTAACTGGCCGCTTGTCGAAATTCCTGATAAATTAACGGGTCCGAAGCCATATTTCAAAATCTCAATGAGCGGGATAGTAGAGCGGGTCAAAAGCCAATCATTTTTTTATCATTTACTGATATTTTATTGTTTAAATATCAAAACTTTATAAGTCGACGGGATAAGTGTCAATTTCTATGTATTTTCGGGCGAGCGTAGGCAAACATAAGGCAGGAGTAAAAAAAAGCGTGAGGGGCGACTTACGCGCGGGAAAACAAGCGCAAAGATAAACTCCTGAATGCACGTGTATTACCCTTCACGCCTTTTCTCGCGCTCGCCTCGCAATTGCTTGCATTCGCCTCGCGCTCGCCTTTATTTTTCCGAAAAACGCTGGAAGAAAGAGAAGCGTGCTCCAGGCTAAGGTTGAATTACATTACGAATTTTCGCATATTTTGATTTTCATGTATGAAGCCACTAAACTGCTTTTCCTCTTTGAATGGTTGACTGTCCACCACTGGCTACCCCCAGCATTTGGCTACCCCTGGGTGGAGAGAGAGACTCTCTGAGCGTAAATGTTCTCACAAAATACTGAATAACGGAGCTGGGGTTGAAACCTCCACAGGGCCCGTTCCGGTAATATCGATCCCATAAAGCTCAGTAATATCCGCTGGTCGTGTGTATATTCAAGATATCAATAATAACGATCCATGTGAAATGCTCAGCGAAGTTTAAAGTAACCTGCTATCATATTTTGAAGAAAAATGTTAAGTTGCGCTCAAACGTCGCAAAAATTAAGAATACTTGACCTGAACTCTGTAGCCGGCCATAAGATCATAATACTGGGATCCGCGTAGTGCTTTCATTGAGCCAGGCCTTTGAAATCTGTCCTCTTTATTCAGCTGGCAGTTGTCTCTTTTAACATTTGTTAGAAAGTTAAAAGAAACGCACTGGCAATTTTGCTGACATTCTAACCAACAACTGAACTGCCCTGTCACCGAAACATTTTCAAAAGTGTATCCAAATAGGGCGTAGCCTTCGACCGTTTCTCCTCCAGTAGTGAAAGCGGATGTGACAGAACATGGTGTGCTGGTATCATGGCCAGACCCCATAGTTACTACAGCAATAGTTAATACAGCAGTCACGGATAATGGAATGATGAAGCCACAAAGATACTCTTGAGAGGTTCTCCTGGTATATAAATTATTAGGACTTTGTTGGTTAGTACAAACGGATGAATTATTGAAACAAACGTCGTTTACATCGAGAGACGATCAAATTTTGAAGCAGGTTATTTCAAAGTAACGTAGGCATTTGCTTTCGGAATATTTCGGTATACATATTGTATCAAGATACTCACATCTTAACTCCGAAGTTCAGTTTTGGGAAAGCGTCTGAACTTATGTGGAAATTTTCTCCTTGTTCATCTTCAGGCGACAAGCCTCCGCTTCAAACAAGAATGATAGCAAGAAATTAAAAGCGATTTCAGAGTGTGAGAACCTTTACACTTGCACTCTGTAACAAATTAGGAAATATCTCAGTTGGTAGTTTCCCCTGCGATAAATGCTTAGACAAGGGATTTGTTTTTTGCATTATAATAGACTTCGTGGCAGAAGGAAATGATGAAAAAGGAGAGAGCGATAATCTCACAAACTATACCCTCCCTTCCTGCGGATATGCAATCAGAGAGTGTTGGATACGTAGAGTTAAAAACATAGTTTTTTGTTGAACAATTTATCCAGCGTTGTTTGAACGGGGCCTGGGTCTGACCTCGATAGTACCCACCGGTAATTCGGTCAGAAATTGTTCATGACCCTCTCTTAATTAAAGCCTGTGAGATTTTGGTTGAGGTTGAAATCGGTTTGATTCCTTATAGCGTTAATTAATATGACATTTTTAAAGATATTATTTGCGAAGAGCTTTATCTTAGTTTCGTCTGACATTTTAGCATGCAGGATTAGTGTTAAAAATAAACCTAGAATCGTGGGAACTTAATCAAGTAAAATACCATTTTAGGGTTAATCGCTCGATCCGGCGAGCACAGGTACTGTAAATGATGTTTAATATTACCTTCATCTTCGCCTTCTTCCCAATATCAGAATTTATTTCCGTCTAAAAGCAATTTCATCCTCAAGCACAGTCAGACGCACGTCTTTAATTGGCCCTGTTTTAATTTTTGCAAACAAGTTCTAATGCAGTGCAGAGCGTTTTCTGTAAAGAGAATGAATAATTGATTAGCTATTGCCACCCTAACAATACCTATCGAAAATCTCCAAAATTAAAAGCAAGGAGGACTCACAAAGATAGATTGAAAGACCAATCCATTCGATTACAGTGATTAAAATGATTTTCGAGAATATGCGTCGACTTTCAGAACTGAACAACTTGCAGATTCTGGGAATTTTAAAGAGTATGTTTTGTTTAATTTATTTCTTTTCAAGCTGTTTCATTTAAACTCTTTATACATCTCTCTTATTAGAAAGGTGATTCAGTTTCTATTCATTCATTTTTCTCCAGTCTGGCAGTTGAAAAGAAGTAACTCGCGACTGAAACAAGGAAAGTGTTTTTTTGTAAACCTTTAAATTTTTGTAATTTCAGGATTATCACATACCAGAGACCAGCCCACAGCAACTTAATTGTTTAAATTGCCTAAGCCCATGACCGTTTTCGTATAATTATTCAGGCTTTCTTTAAGGATTGGTTATTCAAACAAAATTTAGCTGTTACTTAAGAAAACCATGTCCTAGACTATTCTCGAGTTAGCTGGATCTTTAATCTGAACATTTATTGTTATGAAGAGAAGCTGACAGAGCAAGGATATTTATTAAAATAAATCAACCCTCTTATAGAGAAGTCTGAGACCTACTGATAACTTAATACCGTGTGGTTTGGATTGGACTTCGTGAAAGAAACCGGCCCTCGGAGTTACTCAGAATCAAATAATACTTCCTTTTGTTTAGCGCGACTCCTGGCGATGTCCTTTAGCGCCTTTCAGTGTATAGTAAATAAATTTAATTAATTATAAAAAATGGAGGGAAAATGTCTTACAGGCGAAAGGTCAAAATTTAGTAAAATATCTCATATATCTCTTATTAAAAAGCTTATCTAAAAGGTCTAAAAAGATAAGTCATAAATTTTTCTCCAGTACATTCAGATCTTAACGGTGCATTACTTTACAGTGAAAAAACGACGACGCAACTTCCTAAAAAGTGGACATAAAAATTGCTCCAGAGGACAAAATTTATACCCAAAACCTGACATATTACTCGACATAATTACATAAAATCACGCAATGGTTCAAACATCAACCACAAGTACGCGATACAACTACTGAAACGTTAAAACACTCGCAGGAAATTCAGGCGCAAACGCAATACACACAGAAAACAATATGACAATAAGTTTCGCGATAACGACGCATCACAGGCGATGATGTTATTTCATTATGACACTCGTGTTCGTCATTCCAGCATTGCGTACAGTGAAACGGAATTAATGACCGTCAATAAAGGTTTGCCGAAAGTCTTCGTTACTCGTATATCGTGGTAGCCAAACCATCAGGGCTTTCAAACTGTGGTACGTGACTGCTGATTGCTCATCAGTGACACTACACACTCTTGTACGGTGAATGTCGCCGTTGTACATGTCGTCGAAAGTTGTACATGAAAGACAATTAAAACATATTTTTCTTCTGAAGAAATATTTTTTATATCCAGAAACGAACTTTCAAACTGTGTTGAGGTCTTTGTAGTTTTTATTTTATTTCATTACGATTCTTTTACAAAAATATAGGGATCCGCAGGTTCCACAAGTTCCACAGGTTCCACGGGTTCCATGGATTTAACAGTTCCAAATTCATAATTTTACAGTTCCAAATTCACAATTTTACAGGTTTTGCGGTTGCTGATCCTCGGTTTAGCGACACCCATACTCGACACGCAGCTTAATGAGTCACTGATGTTAGATGGTTTTGACTTCATTTAACCAAAATCGCTCTGAATCGATTTAAAAACCATCACCTGGCGGATGGACGTTTTTATTTTGCACCAGTCCGTCGCCACCTCGTCACGCCATCTTCCTTCAACTTTATTGGAAAGCATTCCTACACGACCATCCATCCATTCGTACATACAGAAATATGGCCTTTGTTAAAATCGTTCTTTGGTCATGTCTGGGAGCTGTCCTCGGCTACTTTGCCATCCAAGAGTTCACAGTGGTCACCGAAAGCTTTTTAATACAGAAGCTTATACCTGCTAAGAGGAAGGATGTTTTCGACCTGCTGATCAATCCAGATTATATCTTAAAGTTTCACCCCTTGTGGTAAGTTACTGGTAATTAAGAAAATAGAGCATTAGAAAAAACTTTAATTGTAAGTGTATGGGCCACTTTGTTCACCTTTTTAACGAGATAGAGGTGAGTTCGATCCCCTGAACAGATATGAAAGATTTGCATCACAAGCGAAATCACCACAGCGACAAAGAGTAGAGTACAATCAACAGCGACATTGGCGTTTTAAAAATAAGATAGCGACTTGCAGTGCATTCGGGTAGAGGAAATTGTGTTTTACAATATAGTAAAACTTAGTAAAAGTTATCTTGATTCAACGCCAAGTTCTCATGACTGATTTACAAAGAAATGTGAAGCAGCTAGAGAGGAGAATCAACAATTAAATCTTGGGAGTTAAAGGGTTAAAGGACAAGAATGCACTCTCTTAGATACATCCTTACTCACTACTGACTGATGTTTCCACGCTTAGAGTGGAAGTTATCTTCAGAGGAGAACTGGTGTCATCTAATGGAGAGAGGATCTTGGAAAGCAGTCTGGATCTGATTGTTAACAGTTTTCTATTATTAAAATTTAACCCTATTACTCCCAAGATCTCATTAGTAATTCTCCTTACTGTCTGCCATACAATTCTTATGATGTTAGTTTGGAAAATTTTCTTTTGGATCAACACACAATACCCTGTTTGATGTTTTCTTTATACTCATTACTTGTCTGCTTGGCAAAGTATTGATATTGTAAGGAGAAATTCTGTCTCAGTCACTCATGGGAGTTGAAAGGGTTAAAACCAGCATTCTGACTTCAAAGTTTTGCTAAAGAGGGAGAGCTCAGTCTTCCTCTGTCACATCTTCAACTACTCAGCACATTTTTTTCTTCAATTTCAGTGTTGGTATCACCAATGTTACAACATCAAATGGAAGGGATGGAATGAAAACTGTTCAGTTTGTTGTTACTGATAAAACAGCCATTTCATTAGGGTTTTTTGAAATCAACCAAAACATCACTTTTCCTGTGAATGAGACAGTCATAGAGGAAAATGCAATCATTGAGAACAGAGCCTTACTGATGGGTGGTTATTTCACACTAAAACAGAGGTGGAAGATGGCTGATTATACCAGTGGAAGTGGAGATAAAATTAGTTCATTAGAGGATCATTTTCAGGTTACCTCCTTTCGTATTTTGTTACGATATTCCATGAAGGTAGCATTTGGAGCATTCCATGGTTTGCTTGAACACTTTCTTATTTCACAAATATTTGAGAACCAACCTGCATGATCTCATGACATAAATACAGGGGAATCAATAATTTCTTCCATGAGCGGCAGCTGATAGTGTAATAGGTGTATTATTTCTAAGTTGGTAGAGTTTAAACTAAGATAAAGAGTTTGTTTTTGCTGGTGAAGGTCTATATAAAATATAGACAAAAATGCTAGATTATTTTTTCTTCCTCTTTTGTTTTTAAGATTGGAGTAGTTAGTCAATTTTTGATAATTTGAGTTGTAAATGTATTAGGTTCTAATAATTATAAAAATAATAATAACAATTTATTGATAATAGCAATAATAATAATAATAATAATAAACTGTTGTCAGAAATGAGACTAACAAGTCTGCTGTGTTCCAAAAGTTCACCTTTTATTTTAATCAACTTGCTCTCTCTCTCTCTCTCTCTCTCTCTCTCTCTCTCTCTTTAGATTCATCAGTGAGTGTTTGCTACGCGTTTTCTCTATGCCTATTTAAATTAAGTAAAAGTTTTTTTTTAAAGTATTTAACAATTCTAGCCAAAAGAATATTGCTTTTTAGCTCTCTTCTATGCAAAACCAACGTTATTAAAGTTTAATTGTTGTTCGCATTTCGTCACTGAAAAGTCAGAAGGTAGCAAATACCCAAACCTAGGTACATCAATCATTTTTTTTATAAAATTCAAAAACTTTTCCGGATATCAAAGGTCTTCTAAATGTTCTTCTTTGCCGTAAAAGCCTTCTGAGTTCTGTCGTTTTAAAATTTTTTCTGTGAAGACCATTTTTAGCAAAAAGTGCGCTTCTGGGTATGTAGGTGTACAAGACTTGAAACTTTGGAACCCAAACATTTCTAAAAATGCGTTTTTCGCATTATTTCACTTTTAGTTCATTCTAATGCCATGATTTTCGCATGCATGGATGACGCATTATTTTTTAAGAATTTACAACGTGTTTACAAGCTATTCCATTCATTTTTATCAATTTTACGAGCGAAATTCTGCATGTAGCAAATACCCATTTTATGTAGCAAATACCCACTTGTAAGTAGCAAATACCCACTTTGCCAAATTGATGGGACATTTTTACTTATAAAACTTGAATAAAGCGGAATTCTGGTAATTTGTTTGCATAGCTAAAAGACGCCTTGTGAAAGGGAACATGGAAAATAATTTAAACATTTTTTAAAAGTGTTATTATTTGAATTAAAGCAGAAATATCGTGACTGAGCGACATTCAAGTTAAAAAGAGAAGCGGAGCAATATTGACAGTTAAGATGATTTCCCTGCCTAGTGTACTAATTGAATTAACAAAATAAAGCTTTTTTAGACCATTTTTTACTGATCACGTGGACAACAACAATTTTTTTCACGTCGGCAACGTAGGGGGTGGTTACCCAATCCCCCGAGCCTAATGGCTCATGTTAAAAACGCTCGACAAAGATGATAAAAACGCAAAAATATCACTTAGCTCCCGATGCTGAACTTCCCCTGAAACCCTACCAGCCCTAATCACCTAACATTATAGCCCTAACCCCAAGCCTAATTACCAATTCATAACCCTACCTCTACAATTGTATACTAATACACTTATAGGCTTACAGCCAAGCGTAGTTATGCGAGATAGGCCAGACTTAAATTCCGATAAAGTGGTTGCTGATTTAATTGAAGATGGTAACTGGTTCCAAGAATGAGAGATAGTGTATGAAAAGAGCTCTGAATATGGCTAGAGGTATTTACAGGCTGGGAAACATTAAGAGCAGAGGAGCGCAAATTGTAATGACAGACTCTAGGTGTAAAAAAATTAGAAATATACGAAGCTTCCTGTCGCTTGTATACCTTAAACATGATTAAAGACGCAGTAAAACGTCTTGGGTTAAGGTGTCCATACTAGCAGGCCTGAGACAGTCTTTGTACTCAGTAGATCTACTTAAATTAAGCACAGTTCTTAACGCGTAAAAATACATTTTTCCAGCTTATTTTTTCAGGGAAGTAGATTCCCAACAAAAGAGGGGAACAGTAAATGATACCCTTTCATGTACAGGGATTCCACCTTAAGTTTGCTAGCACAAAATTTAGATACTCTTACTAAATGCGCAAACGGCTAATTTTCAGAAGAGACATGACGCTTTACTTTACAAACATGGCCACTGGTTTTTCGATAGATTTTATTGCTGTTAATTGGATTTATGAGCAAAACTCTACACCTAGCAAATTCCCATTTTATGTAGCTTATCACATACAGGGCAAAATTACTAAGTGCTGATTGGCTGAGACAGAGGGCATTTTTTCTTAATCACGAGGGTACTTTTGGTAATCAAAAGGGCATGATTACTTGATCTTGATTGGTTTAAAGTTGCTTTGTAATGAAGTTATTGCTTAGATTTGTTGCCGATTAAAATTTTCTGCAACAATGGCTTCCCATTTTGTTGAAGAGTTTATTGAGGAACTACTAAACACAAGTGAGCACAAAAACACAAAAAGAAGTACGGACTACTGGACTAACATTTTCCAACAATGGGCAAAGACAAGAGGAAAAAATGAGCAATGTCGCGGCATTGAACGGGCTTCCTACAAGAATAACGTCGCGCGTGAATGGATTCCCGCGATAATTTTGCCCTTTATGTGATAAACAAGAAATCGCAAGTGCCCTCGGGCAATTAAGGATTAATTTCACTGGTGTTTTCAAAGTTTGGAAATACGCGTGAAATTAATCCTTAATTGCCCGAGGACCCATGCGATTACATATACATATCCTATTGACAGCTCGCATACAAGTTTGGGCGTGCGTGTTGATCATCCTTAAAGCTCTATGACAATGGCGATTTTAGCTGCAATTTCACCGGTTTGTGAGGTTTACAGAGCGATATAAATATTTTTAAAAGCAAGTGGATATTAGTTAAAGGTTAATGGACATCGTAGAAAGACAACAATAGATAAAGTCTTAAGTATTCTAATGTTATCTTTGTATTGGCTCATTTAGAATAAAACACCAATATTTAGGAAGGGGGTTATGCGATATCGCTCTATTATGACGACAAAAGTTGCACTAGGGTAAAGTTAAACCCATAAAAAAATATTTAACTGTTAACATGTAATAGTTCAATAGACACTAAAGGAAACAACGAAATTAGTGGTTAATAAAGTGTGTTAGTCTAATATGTATTTCACGGGCTTAGTGACTTCACCCTAAACTTTTCGAAAACGTCATGAAACTTCCACAAAATCTCAACTGGAACTGCACTTAAAAAGACAATATATTGCAGGTTCATGACAACGAGTCTCAAAGTAAACTCTTTTAATTCCAGATATAAGCTTTATCACTTGGAGCTAAGTTTTTAAACGACAACTTTTGCTTTATGAAAAATTCAACTTTATAACACCTCGCAACAAGACCAAGACAAGTTAAATCTTTTTCATAGAAGTCGATGTCCTACACACATCAGTCACCAAGACAAATTCTATGACTCTTAAGGCCGATTTCCACGATGCGATTGTAGTATATGACTCTTAAGGCCGATTTCCACGATGCGATTGTAGTATATGACTTGATGCATGTGACCCGAATCATACCATATAAACGGTCATTCGTCAGGTCGTACACGACCCTATGACTTGTCGTTCGAACCTTAACACACGAAGAAATTGCATTGTGTAAATCGGCCTTTTTAGGGAATATTGACTTACTTGAAATAAAACGATCAACCATAAAATGACTGGCAAACGGTTAAAGAAAATAACATGTTAACAATATAGGACTCAATTATGTTGTAACCCTGAATACATAAAGACAAGAAATGTTCAATGTCAACTAATGTTCAAATATAATGCAAGAACCACAGGATCAAACTACTACTTTCTCTTCATCTTTTGACGTTTGACTTCTTTTCGTACCTTGTCCGCCAAACGTTGTTTTTGCCTCAAAAGAAGCTCCTCATCATCGGTTCCGAAGACCAACCCGGTTTTCCATGCTTTCTCATCATTTATCACCCGTTCCCAAACGACCTCTCTTTTTACTGCGTTGTTTTCAATCATATCCTGAGTTAACGATAGGAGATGGTCTGTTTGTTCATCGGTGAACTTACTCCATGATGGCTTTGCAGATTCAGATGCGATGGATGGAGCTCTGGAAGACATAAACCGTTCTATCTTCTGTTCAGGAGACTCAACTTCAGTTGGTGGTTCTAAGTTTTTGGTAAATTCTGATCGAAGCCTTCTCACTTTCAACACAATTGCCTTCATGGAGTGTGTTTCCAACAGGTTGGAAGCACCAAGTTTATCTCTGACAATGTTTTCAGTTATGTTACCAGTCTCAATTTCAGACTTGAATAAATCTTGAAGTTTTGAGGTCTCTTCCTCGGTCCACTCGACAGGAATTATTGATACCTAAAAGAAATCAGAATTCGTATGCCAATTGTTATTCAAATTACTACGATTGGTATGCATTATAAGAGTACTTACCTCTGTCTTTGCGCAGTTCATGGTGATAAATTTTCTGACAGCACGACGCCCAATATCTGTTTCTCTAACTTTGTCATTGATGCGGTAATATTGAGCTTGTGTTTGAGGTTTGTGCTGTGCAAGGGCAGCCAGTTGTTCTTGATCTTCAGGCAAATGGACATGCACTCCTGATGCCAGAGATTTTCTTATCAAGGTTGCGGAGATGCGACCGTGAAACTTCACACCCTCCCTTTGAAATGTACGAGTCAGACACGTGGATACTTGCGATGAAGTAAGTTTAACGCCATTGGTTGAAACGAACATGTTATCTGTGGCATCTTTGACGTACTTAGGCCTCACCCTTGAGATATACGTATTCACCAGATTGTAAACATCAGCATGAAACCATACAATGGCTGCCCCATAAACACCTCCTGTCTTGTGATTCTTAACTGATACGCGGTATCTCTCTCCATCTTCTTCTCCAGCGTACAGTTTAGCATCTTTGAATTCCTCCACTGTTATATTTGCTGCAATACCACTTCTTCCGGAGTTGTCAATTATTAATCTTGTAATCAGCCAATCCCTTACTTCGCAAA